TCTGAATTTGAAGCGTAATCGTTGTGCCGCCACCGAGGACGTGCGCATCGACGTCTACCAGCACGTGGGCAGACACTCGGTCTCGATTCAGCTCAGGATTCTGCGGTTGTCTCTTACGAATTGAAGTTGCTAATGCCTTGTGCAAGGTTGCATCCTGTCCGCCGAGCCGGACAGCGCTTCCATTCATGATGTCTTTGCCACCAGCACCCACCCGGATTTCCCGGCCATGAAGTTCAAGGTTGCGGAGATTTCGTGGAAGCCAGCTCGCATCTGCATCAAGGGCAGCCGGGCAGGTGAGTATGTCCACGCGGTCCGAGGAGGTCCAAAAGTCCAAGACCGATCGGGCTGCCAAAATGAAAGGGAGAGCCAAGGCGAGGCAGCGATGCAACCACCCTGCCAAGATTACAGCAGCTTCGGAGGCTTCCGGCAGGGCTTGAGATTTTAGGCTCGGAGTCATGACGAGCTGCAGGAGTATCTGGGAAAGCATCGAATCGAAGCTTCTCGGTGATGCACAGCCGAGTTGCAGCCATGCCACGATGTATGCAGATCAAGTTGCCAGTCCTGACACTTGGGCTTCTCCGGTATACGTGTCGCATCGCTCCGGGTTTTTTGTCTGCAATAATACAATACACAAAAACCCATGTGCATCTGTTGCTGCACACACCGTGGCATACGGTTCTGATCTCGATTGGCTGAACAGAGTCGGACCTCGAGCTATGATCGGGACCTAGACCTAGCAAGCGACAGACCGATCAGCGACTGTCCAAGGAAAAGCTTTCCGAAGCCGTCAAGGCCGTGGGCGCTGCATAGCACGTTCAATGGCTGCGCACAGGGCCGCATGCAGATCTTGATTCTTACGTGTGTGCGGATCAGCAGACCGGGGGGCCCCAGATGCGAGGATCTGCGAAGCATGATCTTGTCCACGACGAATGGCGCACGCTTTATTACCGCTCATGCTGGTGGCTAGTGCTCTTTATGCCTCATATTCAACTCTTGATTGAGATGTTTCTTCGAAAGCTTTCGCAAGGCCTTGCTGAAGGACCAGAGCTTTCCAATGTTGAGTGCTCCAGTCATGTGCTGTTGGAGACACTTGCTAGGGCTCAGTGTACCTACCTCGGTTGCACATGCACCCGCTGATGCCGTGAATGCAGGAGCAGCCTGCTGATGCTGTCGACTTCGTTTGCAAATACTTGGCCGCGCTTTGGCATGCATGGCAGAGTGAGACCTATGAAAGCCGCTGCAATCCATGGACATGTCAGAACACTGGCACATTGAAGCCAGAGCAAGGCACTGCATGCATGTTTCGTTCTATCCTGAGGGCACAAAGAAGGACTCGGACAAGGACAAGCAGCTGCCGCCTTTGGCCTCCGGTCACTTGCCTGGACATGACAATGCTCTTGCCAATTCTTACGGATGTGAAGTGTGCTGCCCTACCGAGGCAGCACCAAGGCAGCCTCCCGGCCCCTGCAGAAGGAAAAGGCCTTCCCCGTTCTAGGAACCGCGGGGTGAATCCAAGAGTCTGTGTTCGGCGAGGAGCCCGACAAGCCTGGCGAGGAATCCTTTGTCACCATCGACGGGACACTCTCGGGCTGGGAAGATCGAGCGCGCAGGATGCCACTCAGCTCCACTTTTTCACCAGGACGTCTGGGCCGCCTCCGAGCACGGAAGCTGAGGAGGACTGGGCCCGGCCGGGCCCCTGCCGGGCCCCTGCCCCTCCCTCAAAGCGAAGCCGCGAAGCCTTGGCAGGACCGGGTCACGGACCCACGGAACAGCGATTTGCCAGCCGTGCGATCGCAAGTTTGCCAGCTTCTCGCAGCTCGGACCCACACCCAATCCGTGTTGAGTCGGGCCGGATGTGTGTTCGATGTAGGTCGAGGCTGCGGAAAATGGGCAGCTGGAGTCGGCTCTGAGGGACGCAAAGACCGACCCACAGCAGGCACTCGTACTCGCGCCTTTCTTGAAGCCCACATTAGGTTGCCCCTGTTTCGCTTCTCCAGGAAGCAGCTATGAACGGAGTCCGAATGAAGACAGCGAACCTTCTCATGCAGGAGGGCCTTAGAGGATTTCAGCGGTCGTTCGTTTCGCTGCTGCCGCCCGTTTCAGGCGGCAGACAATGGCGACCTGGAGGAGGCCAAAGCCGACAAAACTCCTTGCATTGCTGGCCCTTTTGCGAGAGAAAGCGCTATGAGGCCATACGCCAGATCCAGGAAGGACCTCAGAACGATCAAGTCCGGCTCAAGGCACGTGAAAGGGTTGTTGTATAATTCCCCACGCTCTTGCGAACTTGATCCAAAACTCCGAATCTTACCCGGCCACAGCCTCCTGTGGTGTGTCCACCGTCTGAACGTGAAGCGCATCATAGCGTGTCATTTGCCATGCAGGTGGCCAACTTGCTTATGGCGGCTTCAGAAAACGGGGACCTGCACAAGGCTCTTACGGAGATAAAGGAGACCTGCACGCAGCCACGCCAGCCAATTTTGGTGCCTTTCGGACTACCTTGAGGAAAACAAAACTGGCGACAAGAACATGAGTAAGGATGAGGCGCGTGAAAGAGCCGCCGGCTTGCTCATCGAGGTCGGGTCACTTGTCTTTCGCAAAGTGCCTCTACAATCGGACTTCCTAACTTCTAGCCCCGCAGGCTGCAGAGAACGGGACGTTGGAGCAGGCCGTTTCACCGCTGTTGAATCACCCGCAGTATCCTCAGTGCACTGCGATCCTAGGATCGGTCGAGCAGCCTTTGCGACTGTTGTTTTTGAGCATATGCGCTGCTTGATTTCAGCCGTCCGCCCCCCGTTCCAAATTCGTGCACTGTTAGCGGTTCGGCGGTCTGGGACGATGAATTCAGTCCCCGAACACCGAAGGTGCCAAAGGTCCCCAAGCGCTCTCGAAGCCTGAAGCCGTTTGAACAACACCTTTCTTGGAGACTTATGATGTGTCTGTTGTGACTGTAGAATCGCTGGAGCTTCACCACTGGATGCGTGCCTGCGAGATTCGGCGAGAGTTGCAGCAGGCGTTGGCCGAGCTCAAGACCCCGACAGCCGACGAGCTCACTACGAGGGCTCCTGTGCAGCAACCATGTTGTCATGAAGGCACTGCCAAGCTCAGAGTCTTACAGGGAAATGCGCTGCCATCTACATGTTCATGGCACATCCAAAGGTTGCCAAGGCTCTTTTCGATGCCATGCAGAATGGAGAGCTGGAGAAGGCCGTGAAAGTAGCGTTGAGACCAGTATGGAATGAGTGGTGGCGAGTGGCTGCAGGCCATGGCAGGAATGCCGACGGGCACGGCTCCGACCGAGCCTGCACCTGAAAATTCATTTCAGCCCGCCGCAGAGGCGGAGACCCCGGCCAATTCCGACCCAACTCCAGCCGATCCAGCTCCGGCTGACCCTGCTCCGGCTGAGCTGGAAAAGCCATCCCAGGCCAGCAAGGAGCTTGAGGGAAAGGCCGAAGTCGTAGAAGACACTAACGCCTCCGGGAATGCATAGCCCGTCACCGTGCCCAAGACATTGAAGCAGTTTTCTTACTCGAAGCCTTACTCACAGTGTGCTCTCTGGGTTCAGCGATGTTCCTGGAGGCGCGTCGTCTCACAACATCTCACAACGCAATCTGTGGAGTCTCCTGAAGGGTGCTGAAGGGTGGAGTGCTTTCATGTTCATGTTGAAGGTTCACTCCGCCCCGGAGACCCACGGAGCGCCTGCATTGTAGAAATGTCTTTGCGAGCCTGAGGGTCGCTTCTCTGTAGTCATCTGCTTGGCGAATAGCTATGGCAGATCACAGATCTTCATGGTAGACGGGTGGATGTCCTGATGTCGCCGATATTGGAATCAGATTACATCGGGCAACATTTTGTGGATTTGCGGTGCATTGATCCACCCTGTTCCGTGCCCGATTGCAATGATGGAACAACTGCGCAAGGGATTCCGCACCTGAGCAAGACTTCTCATCACGCGTTCAGTACCAGCAGTTGTCAGTCCTGTATCCACGTCCTTCTGGTGCACATGCCTGCGCAGTGTTTAAGCCGCTGAAGAAGGGGGCAGGTGTTGTTTGAGGGCAAAGGTCGGGCTATGTCCAGATCATTGGATGCATGATTTTGTTGCGTTTGTTTCCAATTTCACTACGAGCACTTCGAGGAGTTGCTGATCGGTGCCTTTGGCTCACAGTTTTGGACACGGCATGGCGCAGCTTCTTCAATCAACAGCTTATTTGGTGATGTATCTATAGCCGCTATTGCTAAGGAGACCTTGCGCGGGCAGATGCCGGACAGCGCAAAGTGGCGTAGCATATTGAAGCTATAAAACATCACCGGCCGCAGGACAAGCAGAAAGCGCTAGGGCTTTTATCTGCTTCCGGTGGCCAGCTTGCAGCAAGGCCAAGTGGATAGCTTTAAACTCAACAAGCTCTTGCCCAGCCCACAGAGTCTGCAAAGGTTGACACTGACGATACCACGTAGCGACGTTAGTGTTCAAGCAATCAAATCTCGTACCCAAGGGTCTGAATGTCAGGCCGTGGTGCGGATGGTGCTTCTCCCCTCAGCAGTGGCATTTCCACTGCGCCAGCTTGTGAAGCTTTGCCACTGTGTCGAAACAGTTGTCAAAAGAGCCAGAGCAACCTTGATGTGACGATCTGTGTGTTCGGGAAGAGACCGGGGTGCCTAATGTTCTCGTTTGAGGCCTCATCATCGTGCAGGACAGTACGTGGGATGCGGAAAGCAGAGTTCTGATCTTGCGTTTGGCAGGCAACTAAGTGCCTGCCCCGTGGCGATCAATCGTTGTCGTGGTCTTCGTCGTGCTGCTATCATTCAAAGCATGTTGCCGTATATCGGACGACATGTCTTGCACGATGCTTTTGCCTGCCATGTTTGCAAGCATGACTTGACGGTCTGTCCATGTGCATCTTTGGTGGTCTGAATGCCTTGGTCATTAGTCGCCTGCGTGGAGAGTTACACAGATGGCTTTCATGGAGTCACTCAGCGTGCTGCCGGGCACAGAGGGAAGCGTGCACCACGAGCACCGGCTTGTGAGTCCTTCAGGCCACCTTCCTTCTCTACTTCGCATATGCTGCCTATGTAGCAAATCTGCAATGAAGATCAATGAAGTTCATTCTGCTCTGAAACATCGGTGTTGGCTGCACGTGCACTTAAGGACATCCGTCTACACGCCATCCGGACGCACCCTGGCCAAGAGCTGTTCGGTACCGACCATTTCAGCCATCCCAGCATCCTGCAACGGGGTTCCCTCATGCGAAGCTTCAGTGTAAGCTACGTCATGTGAAGGTTTGGGCACATCATCCACGAGTTTGATCCGTGGTTCAACTACCGGGCTGCTGATGCTTGACTGCAGAGACTCTCTAGAAGAGCTTGTAGAGTGGTTTTGCTTTCATGCTTTATTTCCTTGCTAAGGATGGGAAAGGTGCGTCCTGTTTTTTGCAACGAGCAAAATGAGCAGTCGACTCCAGAGCAGTGATTTACATGTCCTAGAATGTATCGGCGGCTGCAGAATCCATCGGACTTGGGACACGAAACAAACAAGAGGAGTCACATCTTTTCAGAAATGACATGACTGAAGGCATGGTCACATGATGCAGCCCAGGAGTACCTGGCGCAGCACGGGCTGTCCAAGTTCTTCAAATGGTACGACTACATGTCATGGTATCCGATCGGGCGCCCCATAGGCCAGTGGGGCCCGGGCACTTCCACGACCAAAGCTTTATAGTCGTCTTTTGGCGAATTGCTGCGGCGCGGTTACCTTGAGCTGTCACTGTCAGGCACGACGATCTACCCTGGAATGCAGATGTGGGCCGTTGGCATTTGGGAGGCTGGATGAGTGACAAGGTTATTCACTGTCAGAGTCAGACCATTTTCATGGCAACACTGGCAGGTGCTGAAGCACGTCCCAGAGAGGAAGGCACAGACCCGCGAGAGACTTGCCATCCTTGCTTGGGACGTGGCACGCGATGGCATGTGGGTGATTCGGGTTGCAGCTCTTAGCCGGGTGTCCAGCACACGACTGGGGGACACGAAAACATGTTTCAGAGTCCTCAAACTTCAGGGTGAGTATATCAGCCCTGCACCGACAGCGCCGAACAGGTCCCTTTGCCTTTCATCCCACCCCTCCGGCCGGTGGCATCTTGGGCACGGAGGCGTTTTGATGCGGACAGCTGACAGGCCGTTAGGCCGTCCTGAATGCCTTGAAATCCGCGCAGGAACGGCTGGCCGTTTATCCCTTCGCCACTGAAGCTCCGGGGCTGCACACATCGGATTGGTCCGATTGGTGCTTTCTGTGTGGCAGCTCCCTCACTGTTTGGTGTGCCGAGCAAGGTCCACCATGGCTGTTGGGCCAATGTCAGTTAATGACATTTGTTGCATGATCCCACCATGGCGTCTTGGCTCGGAGTGGCTCGGAAAGCTGTAGCGTCGCAGCTGGGGGGGCCGTGGGATTCTCGGTGCAGTCACATTCAATGCTAAAGCTGTAGCACATTTTTGCGCCGGGCTGTTGTTCAGTAGTTGAGTGCCCGGTTGCCTGCTTCGTTCTTGCTCGACTTGGCCGCCTGACTGACTGATAGCATCCCAAAAGGTAGACTGCCGTAGCCAAACTATATCAAACGATACTTGGCGAGCGAATTTACGCAGAGTTCCTGTATGTCACCCTGCCCCCTCTGATTTGAACTCCTCTGTAACGTCACTTGAGCTTAGCTGAGGTTCGGCTCTGTGGCACCTCAGCACTTTCGAGATGTGTTTGTGAAAGCAGCACTCACGTTGGTTTTTCGCATTGCGAGGATCTGATTCAGGTGCCCTACAGGCTTTCGGCCAGTGCATACTGTGAAACGGTCCAGTATGAACGGGACTTCCCGCAGCGTATAAAAGCCATTGCCAGAGTGCCTGAGAAGTCTCATCCCTCATGGCAGCGTGCTGCAATGTGAGATGTAGGAACTGAGCACTTAGGGCGTGGCCTTACGAGGCATAAGGCATCGCAACATACGGAAAGCTGCCCAGAACACATAAATCATGCGTGCCCCGCGTCCAGACAGGTGCGTCTGATTCCCAAAGCCTTTGAGCCTAGGACTGTCTCTCAGACCAAAGCTTGAAAACTCAACATCGTGAAGAGCAGTCGTCTCGCCTCATCGCAATGGTTTCTCCCGCAAAGTGTGCTGATCTCAGGCGTCGATCTTCACTGGCTTGCTGACCTACGAGATCTCACGCAGTGTGAACGCCGGCCTTATGGCCCCGTATGCCGCAACAAGCGAACTCCATCCCTGAAGGTGTTGTAACCTCCAGGAGACTGGAGAAGAGGGCATTTGTAGGTGCTGGGCATTTTACAGCAACGGGTCTTGGGACATTCCTGAGCACGGCGCAGCAAACCCTAGAACACTGGAAGTTTTTTCTTTGGGAGTTCTCGCACAAGGCTACTGGCATCATGGCTGTCATTCCAGCCCACATCATGCGTTCAGTTGGAGGCGCGCCGTCGGGAAGGTTGGGTTGGCAGATAGGCACACCGCGGAG